AACAAGCAAGTTAAATAGGGGCAAGCTGCCATTTGTTCTGTTGCAGTTCAATAAACCCAAAGGTAAAAGAAGGAAGACAGAGTGTTGCTTTTGCAACATTTTCCTGCTGCTGGAAATTGAAAATATCGAAGAATCAAGTCACAAAAAATGTGTAGGATTGGGTGGTGCTAGTAATTGAGGCAGGGAGTAAAAAGGCTGATCTTATAGAAAAGGAATAAACTGGACTTTTGTCTTCTGAGTACAGTGACAGTAAGTTTTATGCATTCCAGCTAGAGTAGAGCATTTAAATGGAAAAAAGCAGTGGAGAATGCTGAGGCAAAAGTGGCCAAAAACTAGCATGCTGAATGGTGAAATGAAATTCTTGACAAAAATAGTTCTATTTTAGATGTAGTAACTTTAAATTAAAAGAAGATGTTATAAATTCCTTCCTGATGAGATAACATGGCAATAGTTGTAGTGTACAGATGGTGCAGTTTATTTACTAACTGTATTTTTTACATCAGTTGACAGTAACATTTTAGTAGTACCTAAATATGCATCTTAAGTGCCTCTCTCTAGGCATCTGTGCTGGAAAATTCAGGCCATGGTTGCTTTGAACTGCTTCAACTGCTATTTTCTTTAAAACCTTATAGTATGGCTGTAAAAATAAATACCTTCTAGCAAAATCAAAAGGGACTGTGTTATCCTAATTTTTATTATGATTTAGTTGGAAGGGGATGGATTTGAGGCATTCCGTGACATGAGATCAAGTTTTGAAATAAAAATATCAAAATAATATGAATGATTATAAAACACTTCCTCTCTCTATGAAATGAACTTGGATCAGAGATCACAAACATAATAAAAGGACAGCTGTCACATCCGGCTTTTTCAGGTACCTGTTTGTTTTTAATTATTTTTTGTCAGTTCTAGAATAAACAGTCTGCTACCTGAGGGTTATCCTCTGCATTGCTGAATGTTTGTATGTAATCTCATGCCAAAATATTTCATGCCTGCTGTTTCCCCACTTCACGTGTCTGTGCAGGACAGATTCTGATGTATACAGGTAACTTGCAGAGTGAAATTTGGCTCAAAGCGTGTCATGACAATATGCACTAGATGATAATTCCACAGGGTGATAAATTGTAGGTTAGTTCCTCAGTGAAAGAACTGGATGCTTTTTACCAATTTGATGCGCACTTCTGAACACGTTGCTGAATAGGGGCCTGAATCTAAAATGCAGTGAACAGACCTGCCATGAGGTTTGTGACTTATCCTTTGCTGGTATCATCTTCATCAAAAGAAGCTTTGTCTTTGAAAGCAATGCTGGCAAATATAACAGTAGGCTCTTGCTGCAAGGGGAGGTGCTGCAGCAGTGGTGGAGTTCCTGCCCCTTGTTGGCTTTGAACTGCGTTGGGATGTATGATTTCATGCCTCATGAGTTTGTGTAAGTGCTTAAGGTTTCTTCTAGGTCCTTTCTGATACTCTGTGTAGGACACTTGGTGGATGAGGGACAAAGCACTGAAACTTCAGATTGTAGCATGCAGTGCTAAGTGTATAGACAGCAGTCATCTGTTGGGGAGAGCAGTGACTGCTGGCAATTTTTGTCACTTTTTTTTTGTCACTCTCCAGTGTTACCTGTTTTGAGACTTAGATGTACTCTTCCTTCTTCATACAACACTTACAATCCTTCCTCTTCTTTGTTGTTCCTTACTTTCCTCTTTCACTGGGAAAGTTGGGCGTCTTCTACTTTCCACTAGTAAAAAATGAAATAGCGTTTGTGTGTACAGTCAATTCAGGACTTACTTTAATTAGCAAAAAGAAACCAGAATGCATTCATTTAAATACTTAATTTTCAAAATTCCGTGACTTTGTATGTAGCTATTTTTAACCT